TGGTAAACAAGAAGTACGGTTTGTGAGGTCCGATGTAAAGAATTTTCGATTAGAAATCATGAATATTTATAATTACGATTGAGGTTTGATATTATTATGTGATTTCAATCAAAATTGGCATCTAGGGATCTTTTTGGAACGAATTCTATAATTACTAAAAATCGTTAATGTAAATGAAAAAAACTGTATTCAAAAATGAAAAATATGTTTATCATATGTGTGCCATAGGTCATACCCATTCTATGATCAACAGATCGAAAAGGTTTCTGCTCAATGTTCAGTTTGTATACTAAATAGTTATTTTTGTGCAACCGGTGTTATATCTCTGGTTGTTGTGGTAAGTACTGAAAATTTTACGGTATACGAAAATTTTCGGTCATTGTTTGAGGATTTAGACAATGCCGTTGTCTATACAATGCTTTGGTATCGTGATAAACACTCGACGGGACACCCGAAACAATGCTCGAAATAAGATTGACCCTACTTTGTAACATATGTTGATAGCTGGTACAAAAATCGAATCATGTGGCTCGTATTTTGTTCAGATCTTCAATTTATGGACCATAAAGTAAAAAAAAAGTCATTCACGAAAAATTCATTTGACCCTATATGTAAACAACATTGAAAATAAAGTGGCAACTTGATAATGTCAAGCTGTTCTCAGCACCAGAAATTTATTGAATCTCTTTATTTTTTCATTAAGAGGGCCGTAGGTCAAAAGTTTTTGACCTAATGTTTCAGATGGAAAAGGGGTCCAAATGACCAGACTAGGTATGTTCTATGCATTTTGTAATTTTTCCAACAAATTATTGAATATAAAAATGCACACACACTACACACAAAAGACGTACCTAAATGAGTAAATAATAAATAAATCTTTATTTTCCTTTTTGACAAAGTTATGAAATTAGTACAGGAATCGTCAAAAAAAGAGATCGGACACTAGAAGTTGCTGAAAAAAGGTAATGAAAACTACCTACTTATATATATAAATTCTTCAATAGGATAACATTCATCAACAAGAAAATTCTTGAGTTTTCTTTCAAAGATATAACATCTGGTAGAAAATTATAGGCACGTGGAGCCAACTGATCGGGTGATTGGTTTTTGCAAACAGAACAAAAACATTGTTTTTTGTTTTGTATCAATATTATGCTTACGTTTATTTGGTACAAACAACTTTTTTCTATTCCCAAAAACAGACAAGCACAAGTCAAAAATTAAAAGAATAACATTTTTAAAAGCATTTCTGCAAGAATCACCTACCTACTACAGTTGAAAATAAACAAACTAGGACATACAAAAAACATGACATGGATTGATATGTCAAGATCAGTTTCATAAGGTTTATTCTCCAACTTGAGAAAAATAATTGAGTGAGAAACTGATCAAAATCTTAAATACAAGGAAAGGCATTGAGTTTTTCACTCATTTCTTCATTTGGGAAACAAACTCGTTAAAACTTGATAGTCAAAAAGTCAAAAATTAAAAGAATAAAATTTTTAAAAGCATTTCTGCAAGAATCACCTACCTACTACAGTTGAAAATAAACAAACTAGGACATACAAAAAACATGACATGGATTGATATGTCGAGATCAGTTTCATAAGGTTTACTCTCCAAATTGAGAAAAATAACTGATTGAGAAACTGATCAAAATCTTAAATACAAGGAAAGGCATTGAGTTTTTCACTCATTTCTTCATTTGGGAAACAAACTCGTTAAAACTTGATGTGGTCTTGAACTATTACTCTTCATTTGTTTCGTGTAGTGTTTCATGTAAAGATTGTGCATTTTCCAATATTGTAAATCCGTATTTTGTGTGTATCTATAACGTTTGTATTTTCATTCAATATACAAAATGGAAGAAAGAACTAATGTTCTGGTGAATTCACCTACTGTGAATGGTATTCAAACAGAAACAACCATGATGTTATGATTAATGTATTCTGAATTCATTTTACTTAAAAGACACATAGCAAAACGTTAAGAAAAGAAAGAGGAACCATTGGGTTTATTTTCCTGGCGTAGGACATAAAACCCTTTTGATGTCAATGATCTGAAGATAAATATTTGTTTAGATTAACGTGGCTCCACTCATTTTCTCTGTAAGTATTTTTTTCAAATTATCAATGATAGACGATGTAAAATGAATGATCCATAGGTGACACTGAATTGTTTTAAAGAAATTGTGGTTCTGGGGAAACAGTCAAATCCTGTTATCTATAATCACCTTGGAGAAATTGAATTAACCACCTGCGTCTTTTGAAAATAACTTTAACGATATGATATTGGTTCAAAGTCTACTTGATAGTACTGATAGTGTACTACGAAAAATAGAAATGGTTAGTTCAAAACCATTCTGGATCAATCAATAATTTTAGAGTGTTGATAACAGTGGCGTAACTACAGGGTGGCAAGTCGACAAAATGCCACGGGACCCCAGCCGGAAGGGGCCCCTGGTCAGAGGAGAACCCCAACTCCCAACATTTATTATTTATTATACATGTTACGCAAGCACTCAAGTAGTAAGCAGTTTATAGTTGTAAGAATTGGGTGTTTGTTCCAAATAAGGATATATTTAATTTGTCAATTGTGAAAATAGGTTGACAATGTCTACTCGGTTAGAATTTTATTCTGATTTTTAAAATAATTTATAAGATAACAATCATTTTAATTTTTAATCTACCTATAAAAATAATCATTTACATCGTCAGTAGATATCGGTAGTACCTAAAGCTTGTAATCACAGATTACAAAATTAATATTTAAAATCAGGCAGTTATCTAATGATTCTCATCGCCCATTTGAAAAGCACAAATCACTATTTTGACAAAATGTAACCACCAAAACTATTCACCTATGTTCATCGTTCTTTCAATAATTATGAAATTGTACGCTTGAATTAGGCATTGAACAAAAAGGTGGACTTTCGTTACATACATTTTTCGGCCGATTCTTAGGCATTTTTTAGTAATCAGATTTTTCATTTAATAAAAACTATAGTATTAATACAAACTGTTCACGGTGTTGTTGAGTGGAAGCGAAAAATGAAAGCGAAAAAAGGAATCTAAAGAACAAAATAAAAAGTCACCTAAAATACATCAGTACTTTAAGAATCAAGATAATATAGAAGAAGAATCAAATGAACAGCGCATCGGAAGGGCAGAAAATGATGTCGTCATAAGTGGCAATATCGCAGAGCCCGATAACAGTGAATATTTAGATTCAGAGCAACCACAACCCGGTACGAGCAAATCTTCAAACGAATCATTTTTGGATATAGTAAAATTGGAATCTTTACCGCACTTTACTGATAAAGGTAACTTCAAAGAACTCGATGATCAAGTAAAATGGTTTGTGATCGAAAACGAACCCTGTGAACCAGAAGGCTGCTTTTTAAGGGATAGAAACAAAATACCTTTCTTGGATAAATCTGGCGTGAAGTTAGAACGTACGTGGCTGTACTATTCCCTATTGCCTCAAAAAGCAATTTTTGAACCATGTCGGTTATTCACAAATAAGGCATCTAAAAATATACAACATATTTGGATGGAAGGCTATGATGATTGGAAACATTGAATTTCCCAAATCTCGTTAGATGAATTTGTGAGGATAAACGTCTCTAAGATCCTGAAAGCTAGTTTGAAGTGAACGTATTCTATCGTGTATTAGACATAATCATTAATCAACTGAAATCGCGTTTCCTTGGAATGAATTAAATTGTTTCCAATTTCAGTGTCTTGCAACCTGCCACTTTGGAAAATTTGAACGATACTGATTTATTGGAAATGGTTTTAGCATTTGTCCATCTATATGAAGAAGATATACCATCTCTTTTTCCAAGGAAATTCTCAGTTTTTGATCCTCTTTTAGACACGAAATAGAAACTTCATCTTTTATAAGAGAACTTGCTAACTTATTATTAATAAAAAAATCATTCTATATCTTCAAGCTTTCCTGGAGTGTGCACTTCATTTCTATTATTTCTCACCATTCCTGTGACTACAGTTAGTGCCGATTGATCATTTTCGAAACCGAAATTGATAAAAACTTATTTGAGACATTCTATGGGACAAGACAGGTTGAGCGACTTGGCTATTCTATCCATCGAAAATTCTATGTCCCGAAATTTGAACTTTGATGATGTCATTACCACTTTTGCTGAACAAAGAGTCCGAAGGAAGGAGTTTTATTAATCAACATTTTATATTTTGAACACCTTGTGTGCTTACAACAATATGATGATTCGGACTGCCTATATCAAATTGCATTTTTGTTTTTCAAATCTTACTACTCTATGTGACCATATCAATTAGATGGTGACTGTACTTTAAATTAGGTACTTTTAATTTGAAATGAATCAGTAGAAAATTATGTACCTAAGTATAATTATGAAGTTTGTATGTACCTATTTAACATAGTGATTTATTATTGTACTCTCACATGTTGAAGTGTATAATAAGTATTATAAAATAAAAAAATAGTATTATTGTTGGTTCAGCTTCTTTATAATGGGGGGAGGGGGCCCATCCAATGAATTTGCCACGGGCCTCGAACGGTATGGTTACGCCACTGGTTGATAGTAATGAAATCGTTTCTTTCCAACAATATGCATACTTTCAAAAATATTGGAATTAGTCAAACAATAATTTAAAAAAATCAGTTAAACTTTGCTTGTACATTAAACACCGCATAAGTTGTTGGCATATTAATTTGAATATTGAATTCTGGAAATATTCAATTAACATCGAAATAAGTTATACGTGTTGTTTTGGTTTTCTGTTAGCTGCCAGTCTTCCCTTCAAGTTTAAATAAAGTACCTTATATTTCAGAGGTAGTCTTATTTCATATTGGCCCTACCTCACTGTTCTCCCTATATATGTTCAGAAGTTTCAGTTATTAACACTGTTTTTATAATTATTCAAGGGTATGTTTTGAATGTAGGTTTGACTTCATTTCAAACTAAATCAATTTGGGATCAAATAATAGCCAGATAGTAAATTTGAATATTAATTTATTATGTATAAATGATACCCAAGCAATACACAAAAAAGATTAATAATAAAAAGGGCGATAATAATAATAATATGGCAAATAGGTATTCATAACTTTTACTGAGGAAAATCTTATTGCACCTACCTCTAACTTAACAAGGACAATGAAAACTTAACATATAATTCCTAAACAAAATACGAGGAACATTTTAGAAAATAAACGATAAAATCTCAAAAATAAACTTTCTTTACAATCTTTTAAGTACATAAATAATTAAAGAAATGCAAATAATATTTAGATGACGCAAACATTTAGGAGTGTAGATAGTATTTTGGACAACCGTTTAATCGTTTTCTAAACGAGCACAGTCCAACGTACAATCTGCCTAACTTCTTTCGTCATCTATCAACTTCAAATTTTCAGTTATATCTATCCGTTCTATATACTTTTACACATACACCTATGTTCATATAATAATATAGTGTATATAAGAGTCTGCCGTTTTATTAGCAAAACTATATTTCGGAGTTATAACAGTTTACTATTCTATATAAAAGTTACACGTTTATATTCAAATTGTATTCTTCACCTCTTTGTAGGGAAATTTCATTTAGGAACTCTGATCGGCTTAACTGTTGGCAGTATGTGTCTGCCAACAGGCCCATTATAAAATAAATGAAGGCACCCAGTCCCCCAACAAATAGTAGTTTTACACAGATCACACTATGAGTAACATTGGAGTAAATGGAAACAGTGAGAAAAGTATCAAAACATGGGAGGACCCTGAAGATGCAGCTCTTCACCAAGATATTTTCAGTAGAACCACTAAAGAATTTGGTGGTTGCTTCAAAAGTACTTCAATAGTAGGTGTACCTGATAGTAATTATATGGTACCAAGAACCAAGAAAAAGTGGTCTTTAATAACTAACTAGGCAGCATATTATTGAGTCCTGCAGCGTGTTTGTTTCACATATTTTTTCAATTTATCGAAATGTACTGTGTTATTAAACATTGTTTTAGCAAAAAGTGTATTCTTTGTAGTGTTAATGTCAGTGAAATTTATGAATTCCTTTATAGACTATCAAAATAAAAACAGTGTTTAGAATCTGGAGTATTTTGACTGAAAAATGATAACTCATTGGGCATTTTTGCCCAGCCCACGTACTCCACACTTTCTCACAAATACGATTAACTTTTCATCTGATCTTTTAGAAAAAATATATGTAAACTCTTCGTTAAATCATATAATCCTAAACACAACAAACTAAATCTGAAAAATCTTCAATTGGTTTCAACTGAAAAAGGCCATTTGCTTTGAAGAAAACACTAATACAATGGTTAATCGAAATTGTTGAGGAACTGTTCTATGATTAGCAACATCTTTCAACATTTTTATTTGCATTTCTCGGGACTCGTAGAGTCCTCTTATATGAAACGAAACAGTTCACGTGACATATTTCGCCTAGTATGGCACCGGATACGAATATACAAGCTCGCCACTCATTAGTCCCTTAGAAAGAACAAAAAAGAGGACACGTAATACATTTTTTGAAAATGTTCTGTAGTTGAGATCGTATTTGCATAACACTATTCGTGACTGTACAAATTAAGATTATTTTTTGATATTTTGCTTTTTTAGTACGAAAAATACCGGTATTATTGTAGAGAGATCTGTAGTTATGTCTCTAAAATATGTATTAAAATCTGTCTATAAAAATCTTAAAATGAGGTAGGTAATGTGGACAAAACAACAATATCAAAAGTACATCACAAAGGTGTATCAAAACTATATAACTGACTCCTATTAAAAATCTGTTGTATTGTTGGAATATTCGTTAGTCTGAGGGATGAGTTATAAAATAATTGAAATTTTGAGAATATATTACAGTTTTCCAAATGTGAATCTAGAAAAATATTCAAACTGCTCTTTTCAGGACATTTTTGTGGATAGTTGCATATAAATTTTGAAGAACTGTAATACCATTTTCAAATAATCATATGAGTCATAATAAGACAGCAAACTCAAAATGCTTAATTCATTCACAATATTAAGCTCAAGTATTGGTCATAAAAGCTGCAGTAGCTGAGATATAGGCAGTGAAAATAGACTAAAATTGGTTTCAACATACGTAGATATAGAATTTGTATAGTCGAAATGAAAGAACAAATGAGAAATCAAATTCCATCTACTGAATCCTTAGAGTTTTGTTGTCTCTTAGTTGCCAACAAGAGTCATGTTGGATGTTTCGTCAACAAAATTCCGAGTTTGCCAATCTTATTCTGACAGTGTCTAGAAATGTTAGTTTCTCACAATGAATATGTACAACAAAGAAAAACGTCAAAATTTCTTGAAAAGCATCAACAATTAATGTTAACTATGTACAAACATATACCTCAAAATCATTATCAGTTATTTCACATAAACAAAAAGCACCATAACTATATCTATCATTTTTTTGTAGGGTCTACGTTTAGCGATTTCAGTCTCAAATTATGAAGTACTCAATTTGAGTATGATACTATAGAGGGTTGAGGTGATTCACTGGCTCGTATGCATGCATAATTTGAGAATGAAATTCAGCCGGTGCTCTGCTCTATGGCATACATACAACTAAAATTAGCTTACCCTATTCTTAATCAATAATTAACAATAACCTCTATTCAAGTGCTCTATCGCTATATTATCTATATTCATGTTTGAACGAGAGGCTGTCAACATTTACATTACAAAAATGTATAGCGAAAAGCTAGAATATATCGAGTAAAAACATAAGTACATTTGCTTGAAATGGTATATTTACTACCTATTGCAACAATTGAAAATTAAACAGTGGAAGAACAAATTCTACGAAAAAGAGTATTGAGGGAATGTCAGGAATGTTAGAACTTGTCTTTTCAGAACTACTAGCACTCCTGTACCTGAACAAGAATTCAATAAATTCATGAAGTACATATAACAAATATCATTCCTGGTGTAGGAACCATTTTCATAAGATACCATATCAAAAGTGAATGATTCTGCTACTGGGTATTTTAATCATATAAAAACTGAAGATAGAAATAAAACAACATCGATGTTGAAGTTAAAATACCCAAAAATAAGAAGAACATTTTGATTTCTTATGGAAGACTGTGAATATAGACTTCTACAAAACCAAAAATGAAATAAAAAAATATGTAACAACTTTTGCACTTCTTCTTGCCAATAAAAAAAATTAAGAAATATATTTTTTATTCAGATTGTAATAACAAAATGATAGACAATAGATAATGTGCAAAATTTGCAGAGTTTCTGAAAACTTTGGTTGGAAGGCAAGAATAATGCATTGGCTGGTGAAATGAGTATTTCGATTCTTATCTAAACATAAATATTTTTTGTTCCAAATGTACTCCAAATGTTTTTTGATCAATTATTCAGTTCATGTATCCGAAAATGAATATTTTAAAAATAACCACATTTCAAAAGAAAATCTCAATTCAAATTTAAAATAGTGATCACAATGATACTAAAATTATATAATACAGTTTTAAGTACTTGAGTATCTCACGGTGTGGAAGTCAAAACTGGAAGTTCTAACGTCTAAGAATGAAGCCCTATTTACTTACTAAACTAATGACTGCAGATGAATCGATATCTCTACTATGGGTTTTTAATGTATTTACGTTTCACTTTATACAGTTTCATCACGAAAATATAAAATCGAAAAATGAAAAAAAATCATCATTGTTCATTATGACCAATTCGTACAGTGTTGATTTGATGAAAATGCAACTCATTCTGTTAACTAACACAAGAAGGAATGATTTCATGTTTTTCAATTTTCGCTTGAATATATTTTTGCAATGTCCAAAATTGAATGTGGTGCCACAAACTTATTAGACTTGAGGATAACTCACTATTATACCTGATTTTTATCACTGTTAATGACTAACAAAAAAGTATAAAAATAAAAAAGATACTGATATATTTGTGAATAATGTGAAAAACTCCCTGAAAATTTGTCACCTCTTACTGTTTTTACTCTAACCTACTTCACACAAATAGTGTTTCTCTTACAGTTTGGCAAGAAAGAGCTAGCAGTAAGATTTGACCGAGTAAAAATAAAGATATACGGAAATTTGTACTTCAGTTTTATGATATTATTGTGTGACCTGAGAGTGATGTCTAAGACTGTTCATATATACAAACATGACTTTTCTAATTATTGTGTCATCTTTTATAAATTTGATTGTTGTATGCCTACGAATTGCTTATAACAGGAAGCATTATTTGAAAACATTCTGGAAGCTTTCTACGTACAAAATGAATATAAAGATTTCAAAAAATGTTGCAACATTTCAGTTTTTCAAAGTTACATACAAAAATATTGTTGTAAAGGCAAAAACGCTTTTGTACCATTTTCACCTGGATAGAATAATTGTTTGTATACATTTTTGTTTTAAACATATTTGATAGTTGTATACTTATCACCTTGCACCTGTCGAAATATTTTATTAAATATGTTTAGAGCAACTTCTTTCGCACAAGAAACTTCAGCGTTGTAAGTTTGAAGTTTCTGTGTTTTTGATACATGTAATTTCAAACGCTGTTTTCAACTGATTGTTCAAACCTCACAAAAACATTCAAATTCAACAAAGAAATTCAGAATGAAACCAAATTACTAGACATGTTGCAAAAATATCTTGTCTATCTCTTGTTTTTATTGTTGTCAACACAAATTCTTCAATCAGGTTATCAAAACTCCTGTTGAAAAACTTCCTGCATAACAGTCTAGTATCTGAAAAACATTTTAGTTATTTCATAACTTGCAATGTAGTCCAATATAACTTTCTCTATTTACTACTAAATTACCGTATACGCTTTGAAACCCTTATTATCTTGCACTATTCAATTATAAACTATATTTTTTGAGGTAGACGGATGGAATTATTTATTTAATCGATCGTTAATCTTAAGAAGATGGAATAATTTGTGGGCATGAAGTGTACTAAATGAAACCGGTTAGTTTTTGTATAACAGTTTGGAAGAATTTTAGATTTGGAATAATAATAACGAATTTTACTAGAGCTTTATGATCAGGTTTCAGTGGGATAATGAATTCATAAAGAGCTACTTACGAAAAAGATGAGAATAACTTGTTTAAAATATTTCAATCAATATCCAATTCAATACATTTTGGCAATGTGTTCAAACAATAATAAAGATTATTTGTCATAAAGTCAAAGTATAATTCACTCAAGAGTTTAGACTGTTCAAGAAAGTAAAAATGTTTTTTAAGAGAATCATATCAGAGGAACCCCAAAAAATGAGTACCACAAATAAAGCAATTATTCCAAATTCATGTAGGCTTGTGCCTTGGCTGCTGGTATGGAATGATCCGGAGAAAAGTACCATTTTCATTTAGTTCACTTCAAGAATCCCAGATTTTATGAAATATGAAAATGGAAACATTTCAATAAATATACTATGAGGACAATCAAACTGAGGTAGTTGGATGGAATAAAATGAGTATATCAATGGCAAGAATAACGGCAACTGATGTAACCTAACCTATCCCTCCATCCTACAACTACTAATCACCACCTGCCTTGACAGTTTCAGGTTCTATCTCGTCTTCACTGTAATCATCTTCCTCTCCAGCGGACGATTCGGCTTCTTCGTGAGACTTATTTTGGATAATCCTATCGTGGTTTACCATTTCAGCCTCTCCGCGCCTGATTTCGTCGTTCCTTTTCATCATAAGTTCGCTGGCATTCTGCATCTGGTGCATCTTCTCCAAGAAGTGATGCTGCGAATTCTTGTCCATGCTCATCGCATTGAACTGTGCCAATTTTGCCGCTTGCATGGCCGCTGCTGCTTGATCTGACGTCATCATCCCCATCCCTAAGCTGTTCTCCGTGATGAATTGGAGATAAGTGTCCAAAATAGCCGATCCAGTGGTGTTAGCTCCGGACACTGGAGGTGCCAATGGCGCAGGGTAAGGCTCTTTCGATAAGTGCTGCAGGGAGTCTATACTCTTGGCCGCTACGGCCTGGCCTGACCTATTCATTTTGAAATTGTTCTGGTGGTGGGGTATTTGAGGAGACATTCCAAAGTCTAAGCCACCGTACTTTTGGTGCGACATGGTTAAATCTTCGGGATCATTGTCACCGCATATTGAACTGCCTGCTTCTGACGGTGCCCCTGAATATGCGCTCTTAGCGTCTAGTTTGACGTCGGATCGGCGAGGACCTGTGGGAGACGCCCTCGCCCTGAGTTCCGCAGGACTGATTTTCACACCCGCTTTGGCCAGCAATCTGAAACAATTCCAATACATATGATGATATAAGTACTTTTGTTTTGGTTTAGTACTTCTCCATCTTGATACAAAAAATGTGGGAATCTTCAAAAAAAAAGGAAAGAAGTAATCAATTAAATTTTGAAATTGTTTGCTTCTTTCCTTTCTTTGGTAGATTCCCACATTTTTTATATCAAGATGGAGAAAGCCAGAAACTTTCTTTCCAAAAATTAATCTCTCCTAAAACAATTCAATGCTGTTCAAGTGCAAAAACTTGGATACTATAATTAGGATTACTGGGAATAATGAGAACCAAACCGACAGTAGCATTGGAACCACCCTTGAACCAACCCGAATACATTTCGTAATAACGAGGGGAAATGAGAGTGTGCAAGGTCAGACTAGACGATTCGTTGGGTTACAAAGATTACGCAATACAAAGATTTCAGAATTTGTGGAGGTAACATGATCATAGACCACATGACACCAAAGAACAACTTCATCACAAAATTTGCGGTTAAAATCATAAACCGTATGGAATATACAATGAACAGTTATACTACCCTGAAAATATGCTCGGCAAAAATATCTGGTATACAAAGTAATCGCGTGCATTTTGCGTGTCTACGAAGTTAACATTCAGATTAACATGATACAATATCTACATTATGTAGAGCAATTTCGTTATGAATTTTGAATTTACACGACGACACAATTAATAGGGCAATTCATATGAGCTGAAAACGGTCAAGCAAGAATATTGGACCTGTGAAAAAACACGTGCAGATCAGACACTTTTACAATTTCATCTATTCGGTGTACAGACTATACAAGGAGAATAATTTTGAGGTATCAGTATGGAATTGATTCATGAAATGAATCTCATCAGTTCGGACTTTCATTGTCTACTATAATGTAATATAAATTGATTTGAAATCCCTGAAAAAAAAATTAAAAATTAGAGGTTTCCATATATTACGTATCTCTACGCTAGCTTCGCTGAATGCGTTATTGGACAACATATATGCAGCTTCCTTGAATTTTCTCCTAAACCAGTGTTCTTCCTTGTTGTTGATTTCAGCCTGAGCCCACTTGATGTTATGTTGATGAGTCCAAACATGCTCTGCTATTCCGGGTTTGCTGGTTTCTCTTTGCTGTATGTGTTTCTTATGCTCAGCAATGTGAACTTTCAATGGTCTCTTAGTTTCACTGATGTATGATTCTCCGCACTCGCAGGGTATCCGGTAAATGCAATTCTTGGAATCGCAGTCCGCGTTTGGTGGCCTGGTTTTTGTGAGGCTGCTACGGATAGTGTTCCCATATCTGAAGCAGGTCCTAATGTTATACTTCCTCTGATATAGGGAAGAACATGTTCTGGTTGTGGCGGCTTCTCTTCCTTGTGGAGCTCTTGTTTTCTTTTAGCTGAAGCCTGTTCTACCATCACTCTGGAGTAACCATTCCGTTAAAGGTCACTTTTGATGATGCCTAGTTCCTTTTCAAGACGTTCCTTTGTATTACAGAGCTCGAAAGCACGGTCTAGTAAAGTCTTGACGATTCCTCTCTTAATAGATTGATGGTGGTTGGATTTCTGGTTCAGATACTGTCCTGTGTGAATGGGTTTTCGATATACAGATGTTTCCCATATAGTGTCGGTCCTCTTCAATAATACCTCCATAGTGTCGGTCCTCTTCAACAATACCTCCAAGAATGGCAGTTCGTTGTGGGCTTCCTTCTCCATTGTGAAAGTGATGGAAGGACTTACGTTGTTGATGAGCTTCAGGAAAGTGTATAGTTCTGCATTCCCATGCTTCCATATTATGAAGGTGTCGTCTGTGTATCTCAACCAGACTCGTAGCTTCTTGTGGGCTTATTTAATGGCCAGAGTTTCAAAACACTCCATATATATATATATATATATATATATTGGCTATAAATGGTGAAAGTGGCGATCCCATTGGCAGTCCCTCATCTTGCGTAAAGAATTCGTCCGTCAGTTGAAAGTAGCAGTTTCAAACACAGCATCCTAGTAATTCCATGATTACTTATATCGGTAAGTTTGTTCTATCTGTATATGATTTGAAGTGCTTCTTCGACAGGAACGTTGGTGTAGAGAATGTAGAGGCTTTCTACGTCGAAACTGATCAGTTGATCCTGCTCTTTGACTTCGATTTCCCCTAGTAGTTCAACGAAATGCCTTGAATTTTTCACAAAAGATGATGTATCACCTTGCAGTGGTTTAATTATTGGTAGTAAAAATCTAGACAAGTTCTGAGTGGCTGAATCTCTGGAGTTAATGATTGGTCTGAGCGGAACATCCTTTTTGTGGATTTTGGGTAGTCCATACAAGTGAGGGGGCTTACTGTGGTGTGGTGTTAGCGATGATCTCTATTTTCCCGAAAAATAGATTTGATGTTTTTGCAAAGTCTGGTACAACTTCCTTTCAATTGATGCAGTAGGGTCTCTTACGATCTTCGTGTATTTTCCTTTCTGAAGCACCTATTCAATCTTCTGTTCATAGAGATCAGTATTCATCACAACAGTAGCGTTTCCCTTATCTGCAGGTAAGATCTTGATAGTGTTGTCTTTACGTAGCCCGTTCAGAGCTCTTCGTTCTTCATTGCTAACGTTAGAAGTTGGAAATGGTTCTCGATCTAGCTGTTCTCAGCTAGATCTCAGCTAATTTTCAGCCTTTATTAATATTTAAATTTTTTTAATTTTTTTATTTTTTTGGTTGTTGCTTGTATGTTATTTCTTTGTAATTTCAGTTTTTTGTTTAATAAAATTGTTATTCTCGGTTAATCTTTTTAATTTTTTTTTCAGGGATTTAAAATCAATTTATATTATAGTAGACAATGGAATTCCGAATTGATGAAATACACCACGAAACATTGTCAACCACCTTCAAACAAACGAATGAAATGAATCAATAGGAAACATGAAGCACGGAACAGAAATTGGTTCAGTGTAATTACTAAGCTACTTACTGGACACTGTCCATACAATAACTTTGGACAATCAAAAATGAAAACAGCATGGGTAGCATGAAAAGTAATAATCTTCGATACTGGAGTCTTTTCTAAAAGGTATGTGGAAGAAATTGAAATGTCAGAGGTTTTCCAAGGAGGGAAAAAAGTTGAGTTTGTGTACCAACCAGCAACATATTTTTAAAAGAGCTACAAGATATGATGAAATGCACAGTGAAAATATGATAGTGTTAACACATCAACAACTCACCTGCTGGCGAGTTCTGGATCAAACGGAGCAGGCATTGGCAGAACGGGCAAGTCTTTGGTGCTGATTCCCCTGTGTTGCCGCGACATGTGTGAATGAAGAGAATTTCTCGATTTTGCCACGGTACCGCACAGAACGCATCGGTAACCAGGACATATCGTGTGTTTGTCTTCCAAATGGGTTCTTAATGTATGGGCGGATCTGTAGATTTTGCCACATTTTGGGCATGGCCTGGGATCCGTAGCTCTCACCTTTAGCATGTCCAATGACCTCCGTGACACTGAAACAAAATATAGAAGTGATGAATCGATATTGCAAGGAAAGAATGGCCACTTCAGCAAAGAGTTCTCTGTAAATATTCCTAGACTCGGCCCAGATTTTCATTAGGATTCGAATGAAGTAGTGAACAAAATTTTATTGCTAACAAAAAGAAAAATAGCTTGACCTTGTCAATCCTGGTATGTTCAGTACTGTTTCCAATCAGAGATAGCAGATATCTATTGAAAACACTTTTCCCATGCCAGAACAAAAATGTTGTCTCTTGACGAGCGTTTCGCTAATTATGCTAGCATCATCAGTAGATGAATAAAACTATTTGTTTTTCACGCTAGAGGTTACAAATTCTACTTATCAAGAGACAGGAAGTTGTCGATAATTGCTTCAATGTTGTGGCTCCTTTATATAGTATCATCTGTTGTGCATTAGTACCAGTTCACTTCTTTTTCGTAGGCTTCACCTGCTTCAAGGTACTTTTTTTCTTGGGAATATGATCACCATATAATATTCAAGTACCGGATCACAATTGTTAAAGTTCTACCGTTCTTATGCGGTGAATGGCCTTCTGTAGGTACTTCTTCTGGTTTTCTAGTATTTACACTAATATTCGACCAGCTCTCTTTTTCCTAATTTTTCCATATTTTCACATTCTTCATTTGAAAATTTTGCAATATTGAAGCATTTCAGTTTTCTTTGTTTTGCTTCAAATTGCTCCATTAGAAAAGTATAAAGATGCTCGGTGTGGCGAGCAAGCTGGCCATTGCCGAGAGCCGACTTGTTGAACTTGTTTTTCTTCGGGGGCGGAAAGATATGGCCTGGGGTCATATGGCCATTAAACATTATTTCGATTTCGCGAAAGATATGCGTCGCACAGGCTCGTCGACAGTGGGGAGAAACATGAACTGAATAAACCGAATTGTTTTGTGAAAGTGTAATAATATATTAGGTTTTGCATTATTTGGAGATTTTTCCATTGCAGTTGACGAGAATATAATAAGAACATTTTTTTTGGAAAGATTTCATCTCCAGTTTCCATATGCCTTTACGCTAAAGCTAATAACCTTGCTTCATCCAAAAAAATAGACACATCCGATAATCACTCTACGGCTTAATACACGAAATCAGTAACAAGTTTCAAGTCTGTAGTCTGTCTAATAACACTAAATGTTACAAAGTAATGGTTTATACTCAAGATCATCGTAGCATTGCAGGCAAGATAAACTTACTGTGATAGTTATTATTCATAGGCGAAGTCATGAAAAGCATTTTTCCTAGTTCAAAATAATATCCATATTTCAATTGAAAGACAGATTAGCATGCAAACTTAGACTATTGTTATTGACTGTATGTTACTTTTTCAAATGAAAAATAATGTGATAATAACACTGTAATCATGATCCTAGCCCTGATAATTGTAATTCGTACTTTGATTATTTGTGATCCAGTCGATGAACAGCGAGTTTATTAATAAATTGAAAAAATGGGTTATGTCATTGTTTTGTTTCAACCAAAAACCGATATAAAATTGCCTTTGCACTCTCGTAGTTTTTCATTGACGACCCCTTATTATCTCTCAAAAGATTCGATACTCTCAAATGGGTTCTCTAAGTCTGAAGAATAACTCTGAGGGTCCAATGGACGAGAATCAATCAGTTTAAATATAGTGCACATCATTGTCATCACTAAGACCGAAAACTAAATGTGATTATTTTTACTGTACAATAATGTTCGTTTTCTCATTTTTGTTAGACTTAAAATAATATACCAAACCTTATTGATGTTGCGGTAGATATACGGAGAATAACAAATGTCTGTCAAATTATCGATGTTACGTATTCAAGTAATTATATTATGTTACCGCCCTTATGTGGTTTCAAAAGTATCTTCCAATATTTGACAAGATATATAAATGTCATCAATTCAACTTATAATTATCTGAAGTGATTCGTTCAAAAAATTCGTTCAATATCTGAACTTCATTATCGTTAAACACAAAATCGCTCGAATTGTTAAAAATGTTTCGGAAATAAACATTGGCTGACATCAAATGTATCGGATTTATATTAAGAACTACACTGATGTGAATGATTACATTATGATTCAACTCCATAGTTGAAATACATAATACTGTTAACAAACTATAAATATGTCCCGGTTCGGGACATATCCCGAACCGGCCCTGGCGACAAGTCGCGCCCCGAACAGCACCGTCACTTCAGATAGTATATTATCACAAACGCATCGTAGAAGAATCCTGGTTGCCTATCTTCAGAAATTCTGAAGAAGTCTCCTCACATGCCCCACCGAACGGTTTTCATAATCTCCCATTGTTTGGAATGCTTCGCCCTCATGTGGTTCCTCACGGAATTGGGGTGCGTGAACGTTTTGCGACACTCCATCACCGGACACACTGGGCTGTCTCTGGGGTAGTGCTGGTCGATGTGAGCTCGCAAACTTTCGATACTTGGCAAAATAGCCTCGCACAGGGGACACTCGCATTTCACTTCGGCCGTTCCTGGATTCCTGTACTTGTTCCTGTTCTGGTAGAAGTCGCCACTGGCATCTGGAATGCCAAAGACTGCACTGCACTTTCAGTTATTTTTTGTTAGGCGCTTAATTTTTAAATGAAACAAATTCGTGATAATTCGGAAATAACACGGAGGGGGGGCCCTCAAGGATTTTTTAGTATATATGTCTTTGGGAAAACATGAATAATCGCTGTTACATTTAACTATTAATAATACGACTATAAAGTCGTTTATACAGACATCTTAAAAGATGATTTCAAACAACCGATGCTGCTAAAATCAACGATATTGCCCGTATATTGATTGTCAATGTCAAAAAACTATTTGTACACCTTTCGCTGACAGTGTTCTCTGTCGTGCTGTTTCAATTTCAGAATCTACAAAATTCCTAGGAATTTATATTGAACTGGAGACATAAAAAAAGCGATTTTTTTCTAACAGGAGTACCCAGTTACAGGAAATGTTATTATTAGAGAGTATATATTATAATATAAAATGAAGTCATTGAAATATGATGCGAGTTTCTCCAAAAAGAACTTTATACATAAAAATCATGGAGAAGTAGTGTAGAAGATATTTCTCTTATCAGTTTCATTTATTTGTTTCAATACTCGTTAATACCCTCACAAATACGATTGAAAAAATGTTATATAAATTAAATAGTTGTTGACGACTAAATTTGTCAAGAGGAAAAGTCTTGTCAGTTCCAATTTAACAAGCACTTTCTGCAAAAGTTCGAGCAGTTCCATATAAAATTTCGCAAGTAGTATAGCAAGCGCCAAGCGTGATGGCGAGCGATCGCGCAGGTATAGACCCTCCCAACTAAATTCCTATTGGATTACGATAAGCCCTTTGCCGACCAGTGTCGTACCTATAATTAGTTTCAATTAGGGTATTCAGACGCCAAATGTCAACAGCATTGGAGGACAAATGATGTTACGCCTCTGTACAGAGCATTTGTATGTCTTACAAGAGCTGTAGTGGGGGTTATATTGAAAATGAGTTTGTGCGCATGGGAGCGGGCTCGCCATCACGTTTGACGCTTGCTGTATAACCTTTCACAATCCACCAATTTAGAAATTGGATCATTGGTATGATAGGAATATATTCATTACATTCCAGCAGCACTCACATTTCTCTGTTTTCATTTGTTGTAACACTGAAATTCAATTACTGTCTAGCAATGAGACTAGAGTGAAAACAAAAGCCATTTATTTCCAACAGTAGTACCCAGTTACAGGAAATTCTATTATTACAGAGTATATATGGAATAAATTTTAAAAATAATGGAATATAGAAATGTATAAAAGTAAATGCTGAAACAAAGTATACATAAAATTCTATTATTACAGAGTATATATGGAATAAATTTTAAAAATAATGGAATATAGAACTGTATAAAAGTAAATGCTGAAACAAAGTATACAGGGTGTAACATAAGCACGTTAAAATATTCGAGTAACGTATTCCTGAGACAATTTTAAGAAAAAAAGTTTATATGAACTTGTGTCCAAAAATGCTTTGTTTCGGACATACGAGGTGTTGAAATTGAACTTTTTTTTCCGCCTTTTGAAAATAACTCTTGCAAAAAATAAGTCATTTACACGAAATTTGGCACCCAAAGTTTTTCTGACGTGGGAAATGATAATTTCGTATTAATTTTCATGTAACATCTAGAGGGCGCTGCCTACGCTGTCATTATTTTTTTCAAATTGCCCTAACTTTTTTAAACAGTAAATTTTCGGTACTTTTCATGAAAAAACCTAATTTCCACACCTTTTCCAAGTAAAAAAGGTACACATCCTCAACAACGCTGGAGGTGATCGTTTTCGAGATATTTACAATTTTCTAAATCAATGCATATTACTTTATAGCCTAATTTGATTTCAATAATTTTCGTCACTTTCCGATTGCAAATTATGTTAATTGAATCGAGTAGGCTATGAAAGTTTATTTATAAAAATAGAAGTTCGCTGTCACATGTTTAACTATTAATTGACAAATTCACAGTTCGAAGTTTATAAAGTGATTTTTTGGTACCATGCCTGACTTTACGAATGCTGAAATGGCTGATTTGGTTTTTGCATACGACTTGGCTGACGGAAATTCAAGCAAGGCCAGACGCATCTATCAGGAAAGGTATTCCCAACGCGTGACTCTTTTCCGGCGACTTTTCGAATCTGGAAGCTTTGGAACGAATTCAGCAGTAGGACGGCCACGGACTACAAAAACTGTAGAATTGAAGGAGGCGGTTCTCGAAAAAATTAGTGAATATCAAGAGACAAGTACAAGAAAAATTAGTCAAACTTTAAATGTGAGTCACATGACAGTTTACAGAATTTTAAAGGAACAGCAATTATATCCTTATCATATTCAGCGTGTCCAGCGAATTTGCTCAATGGCTTCAAAGAAAAGTCGAACAACTTCGCAAATTTTATCGAAAATCCTCTTCACAGATGAGGCTAATTTTTCAAGA